ACTATGAAGATGGATGAGCTCATGGGATCTCTTCAGACTTTTAAGATGACAATCAGTGAGAAATTTGAGAAGAATAAAAGTATAACTTTGGTGTCTAATTAAGAAGAATGTGATCCTAATTCCAATGAGGAATTGTCCAAGGTTGTGGAACTTCTTGAAAAACAGTATAACCAATTGTTGAAGAAACTGGACGAAAAGTCAAGATCTAATGTCAAGGCTCAGTCTTCCGACATCAACAGAAGGAAAGATTTTGGAAGAAGAACTAATAATGATAAGAAATCCAACATGGGAAAGGGAATCCAATGTTATGAGTGTGAGGGGTTTGGACACACAAGAGCAGAGTGTCCTACCTTTCTCAAGAAGGAAAATAAAGGGTTATCTACTTCTTGATCAGAAGATGACTTCTCGAGCAACAGAGAAACTGCTAAACATGTTTCTTCACTTACTGGAGTATAAGAATCCGACAAGGAATAAGATGTCGAAGATCTCACTGCTGATGAACTGGCTGCCTCTTATAAGGAGTTGAGAATTAAGGGTCTGTTTGGTTCAAATGAGGGGGAGGGGAGGGGAGGAATTTTAATGAAGGGGAGGGGAGGGGAGGGGAGGGGAAGGAATTTTTTAATCAAATAAGTGTTTGGTTCAAAAGAGAGGAGGGGAGGGGAGGGGAGGGATTTTAATTAAAAATGTGTTTGGTTCAGAAGGGGGGGGGGGAGAGGTTTTATTAATAATTTACATTTTTATCCTTATGATCTTATATAAGTCATATGATATTAAAATGTGAAAAATTCGTGCGTATTTTTGTTGGTAATAAAATTTCTAATATTGAGTGATTAAAAAAATATTTATTTGTCACATAAAGTTAAAAAAAATTGAGTACAATCGGTTCGACTTATAACTTTCCAACATAAATTAAACTATATGTCAATAACATCGTTTAAATTGTGATGAATCATATAACAAAACAAATATATAAAATAACTTATTACTAAATATTAATGGTTCAAAATATTTAATAAAATGAATAAATAAAAATAAATAAAATGATATGGTTTACAATTTGATATAAAAGAAAATATGATAGATTACATAACAAAATTAAAAGAAAAAAACGAATATAACGAAACATAATTTTTTAATAATAAAAAGACAATGATTATGATTTATATTAATTATAAAAATTATAAAATAATTTGAAAGTGGAGAACAATTATAATAAGTTGATTAAAACAATCAAGAAAAAACAGTAACACAAAAGATAACAAATAGTTTTGAAATAATAAAATTAAACTGAGGATATTTTAGTAAATATAATAATTTTTAAATATCAAAACTCATATTCCCTCCCCTCCCCTCCAAATCCCCTCAATTCGGAGGGAACCAAAAAGTGTGTTTTGGAGGGATTTTGCTCCCCTCCCCTCCCATCCCCTCCCCTCCTAAAATGTGAACCAAACATATTTAATTAAAAATTTCCCCTCCCCTCCCCTCCCCTCCCCTCCATCTACCCCGAACCAAACACACCCTAAAAGTGTTGAAGTGTGTCAATTAGACTAAAACACTTGACCACCATTTCTGATCTGGAGGATGAAGTTGTGTTGCTCAATTCTAAACTTGACAATATGACTAAGTACATAAGAATGCTCAATAGCAGTTCAGATGTGCTGGATGAAATTCTTAAATCAGGAAAAAATGCTGGAAATGGAAGAGGACTTGGTTACAATGATCAATTTAGGAATAAAGGACAAAGGTCTGGTGTGAACTTTGTTCAATAAAAAAAAGAGCAGGATCAAACGGTGTCAAGTAGGATGTCCCAACATTGTCAAAGACCTTAGAAGAACTCCTCAGGAAGAAAGAATCAAGACAAGAAGTGTTATCATAGTGAACTCATCCATAAATGACATAAAATACTTATTTCCTCCAAGTGAATGTACCCCAAATGAGCAACATACATCACAATGCACCACACCCAAAGCATGATTTGCTCTTGGAGGCATTTTTGGTGAGAATGACAATCTTGGTTACTTTCCTCTCATGCGTAAATCACATGATTTCTATGGTGCCACGATCTTTGGAATTACATGCTCCTAATTCTTTGAACCCAGGTGCCCTAAGCTCCTGTATTTCAGAAGCCCCAATCTCTTGTAACTCAAGAACTTAACCAATTTTTTAATGACATTTCCTCACTTCCAAGTGACTTTTTAATGGCTCAACGTCTCTTATCATTCCATTTTTTATATGCTTAAATTCATGCATCTGTTGCAATAATATTGATAGGGGCTTGCTGTAACACCCCAAATTTAATCAGAATATGTTAATTAGTTATTTAATTGAGAATATTCATGTTTCAGTGAATTTCCGGTGGTTTTGTGAATATTGGATAGATGTACATTTTCGGGTATTTATTTGATTAATAGCATATAATATTAATTTATTAGTATTATTATTAATTAAATGGAATATAAGTGAAATAAGGGCAATTTGGGCATTTGAGGGAGTTAGTAAAGGTAATGAGGGAAAAGCCCAATTTGTGAGGCCTAAGACTAGGTTGGACAAAATTGAGTTCTGAAGGGGGATTTGAATTCATTTTGTGTTAACCGTGAAAGTTTGGTGGCCAGAGCTCTGAAGGAAAGGTTGGAGGCAGAAGATCCCGAAGATAATCGTGAAAACTGCGAATCGACTAAGGTATGGGGAGTATCGATGTTCATGATTTTCTATGTGTGCCTTTAGATGTGTTTATGGTTGGTTTATGAATTAAGGTATTTTGGGTTGGTTGTGGAAAATAGGGAATTTGATGATAAGGCTTTGAGGTTAGGGGTAATGGTATGTAACACTGAATATTGATATGAGAAGGGAAACCTTAGGCCTTCGTGGCCAAAACCTTGGATCGTTATATGTTTGACCCTGTAGGAATAGGAATGTTCAAATGGGAGTAACTCTGGTGCACTCAGAGCAATTGCAGGAAAATAGTGATTTAGGCAGTGCGAATGTTGCCAGATTGGCCTAATAAACCATAGATTTTCTGTCGTTCTCGCCGTATGACCGTAGGGATGATTTAGGGATGTTTTGGGGGCATTGGGTAAGTGAATCGTATGAGCATTTGGACAAGAATCAGTTCTGGTCGTAACAGGTTTTTGTTGTCATCGCCACAGACTCGCCTAGCGAGCATGCCAGCGAAGACTCGCTACCGACTCGCCTAGCGAGCAAGCCAGCGAACGTAGCAGAGTTCGCAAAAATTGATCGTTTTGCAGCGATACCTTGATGTTTAATTCTGAGATTTTTGGGATGGATTACCCCGAGTATGACAATGGGTTTTGGGTGATGCGTACATGATGTTATGACAGTTTCCTATGATGTATCGATTGAGTTGATATGATGAAATTACCATGACTTGATGAACTATGTGATAACATGAGATATGATGATTTACGTGATGATGATGAATACGATGAATGATGATGCACCATATGTTGTATTGTGAGGATTATTATTGTGACGTGTGCATCATGCATTCATGTGCATCCGGACTTCGGTTCAGGACCTCGATTACTTTGGCTTCAATCCCACTGTGTGGATGTGAAGTATTTTGATGTGCTATGGTTCTCTAGTAGAATCGATCCTATTGGTGGGGATCTATGGAGGGTTGATGGCCCAGTGTCCATCACGCTGTGATGATTGGTACCACATGCATTGAGTTATGTCGCATTGCATTTATGAGTCTTTTTGTATGAATTACGACGTTGTGGCCTTTGAGCCATATTTGAGTAATATGAATGTGTTGAATATAATTATGATGTCGTTTATGCATTGATTGTTATACATTGATTATTATGAATTGTATTACTCACCCTGCCTATTTGAATGTTACCTCTACGTGGGTAATGTGCAGATGATCCAGTTTAGCAGTGGACGCCGACGAGGAGTTAATTTTGAAGTTTTTGAGTGTTTTAGTCTTTTGGTCAGCCTAGAGGGTCTTGCTCTGATATGTAACATCGGGTTGGGTTCTTTGAGTTGATTTTATACTGCTGGAGTTATTTTGATTAATTTCCCTTTTTGAGGAAAACTTTGATTTATGCTTTGAGTTCCACTGTTTATGATGTTTTGATGTACTTTAGGAAAAATCTGTAGTTACGGAGTATGGACCTATTTTGATGACTTTGAGAAATGTACGCCCTTTTAGTGGCTTTTTAATGAGATTTATTTATTCAGTCTGATTTCGGTGTTATTTTGCCTTGATATTTTTGGAGTAGAAAAAGGGTGTTACACTTGCTAATTATAGAAGTGCCAAAATCTCAAATAAACTGTATTAGATTATGTATCATACCAGTCAAACTAGTCTTACATTATTTGGAATTAATGAGTCGTATTTTTTAAAGAATAGAATCATGAGAGTTTTCAAACTCAAAGCAAACGATATCTCATAGCGCTAGTGACACAAACTTGAGTTGTGCTAAAAGGAGGGTTCAAGCTGATACGTTCGCACTTAGCCCCTTAGCCTCGATTGGAAACAACTGATATGTACCAGCCAAAATACTCTAATTTTGCTTATGAATTGAGGCTAAGAGAAGTTGATATACAACACTCACATTCTTCTATTCAACGAGACGTCTTTTCTAAAGAAAATAATAGATTGGTTGTTCAAGTGGTTTGGTTATTATTCATGTTCTTATTATATATCTATATTTTAACCTATAATGTTTTTTGTTCGAAAGAAAAAAACAGAAAGGGAAAGAATCAAAGATGTCATAAAAGTATATTTTTGAACATCAACACAATGATAATTAGTTCTCTACAAACAATCAATACAAGAAAAACAGTTTATGTGTGATCTAAGTAGAAAGCATTCTTTTTAGACATGACCAGAAACATGCAACTTCCAAGTCACACTTCTTACAATTTTCAGGTTCAGTAGTGATGTCTTCAGAACATGAAAAATAACAGTTACATTAGTTTGTGTAGTAGTTCTACATGCATACAGACAGAACACAGCACATAAAGTATTCTGCTCAAGAGGCAGATATAGTTGGCTGAAATTCTTCATTTGGTCCCTTCAACGAAACCGAATCAGGCGAATTCTCAGAGCAGAAGTTGTTCTCTATGTTATTGGCCACCTTTGTCGTTGGCGAAGACGGATAAGGTGCTTTACTGCCCAATCTGTAATAAACAAACACGATCAAATATGAAAATGAGTTCTATATAAGAATCGTACCAAATAATTTGAAACTCTAAACTAATTAAATAAACCCATTTAACATGGCAGGTAGATAGTACCTGTCTCTCCGCTTCTCAAGAAACCTTTGAAGTGAATGTCTGCGTGCTATTGGAAATGCTGACAAGAAATATCAAGAAAAAACACGGACAGTTAAAACAGTTTCTGAATGCTTGAAGACGTAACCAGTTAAAAGATTATCATCTAATTTTAAAATGATAATGTGGAAATTCACACCTTGCAGCCTGCAGACGGAACTCTTCTTTGCAGGAAAGCAGAGTTCCTGCGATGAAGCGATATTTTCAGTGGCAGCATGTGGAGAAGAGGACCTTGAAGGAACAGGTGAAGGAACATGAGATTGTTTCACGATACTCTTCATTTCGGTAGACTTGGTAGTAGTAGTAGCCATGAGCATTTTTTCTTGCACCTGTTAGTAAAGTAGAGAAAGTCTAAATATGATTTCGATTGTATTGTAACATGGAAAATAGAGCTTAAGTTTCACCAATCATCTCAAAGTGAAGCTAGAACTACCTTTTCTGCTAGATTTCCATTATAGATACAAATATTCTCGTTATAGAAGATGGTAAGCTGATTTGTATTAGGAAACGTCTCTTTCATTCTTGGCGTTGCCATCGACCTAAAAGTGAGATTAATAATAATAGTAGTGATAAACTAATAATGATAAACTTGATAGATAAAATCAAATACAAAACATAAAATAACGCAGTGTAGCTGCGTTTGAGACTACATCGACCGCATTTGACCTAGTTTTTCCATAACATGCATGTAGAAGCCTTTCAGTCCCTCTGAAATATATTTTAGGGAATAAGCCATTACAGGATCATCATCAAAACTTTTGTCCCTCTTTAATTTGGTTAGACACAACTATCATCAAGTTATGCATAAATCGTCTTTCTGTGTTAAAATTGTCCAAACAAGAAAGGCAAGTAATGCCGGCCTTGAAAAACATTGTTATGTGCGAGAGGGATGTGTGGACTAAGATAACTATAATAGATGAGGTTAGGATTTCTTGTGATATGGGTTTTTTCCATTTTCTCTTGAAGGGGAGTATTGGTTATGTGTGACAGGGGGAGTAATGGACCTTTGTCGCACCCTAATTTTTGACCTTAAGATCCCACCTTCTTGTGCGTTTTTTTGCGTTTTATCCTTTTACTCTGGTATACGTGTTTATCAGGACTAACAAGTGTGCGCAGGTTCTTTTTTGCTTTAAAGACGCCTCAAGTTGATTCTTATGTTTATATCCCCTTAAATCAAGCTTTCTAGTGCAAGTTGGTGTGGACTCGAGAATTGAGGATCGCTCATATGTGATTTCAATCCAACATTTGCAATGATCAAATGGTGTTATTTGGTTTATGGCGGGGAATTCATTTGGTGCATCTCAAATGGTTTAAATTAGTTCATCATTTGTGAAATATCGAAATTTAAAGGATTCTAAGATTGACCATAAGTCATTAAAGGAGTTTCTATAAAATTAAATCGTGATGGAGGTATGGAAAACCAATTTGAGAGCAGTATGTCATCAAGTGGTGAAGACGGGTTATAGCAAATTTATGTCAATACCGGTAACAAGCATTTAGAATCCAAATTCAAAGTGCTCTAAGATCTGAAGCTTGTCAGAATTTTCTTCTAAAGCATGATTTTCAAAGAAAAAGTCCAAGTTCAAATCCCGTCATCAAGGCGTTCGGGTTCTCCTTTCAATCCAGAAGAGTTGCAAGTTTAAGCTCAAAGTCAAGAGTTATTCAAGCAGCGAGAGGGAATTGTAAGAGCAAGATTTGTCTCTACAGGATTATCTCTATGTTTTGATGATAACAATTGAGTATTTGTGAAAGAACCATTTTATGGTTTAATGTTTGTTATGTGCAGGTCATATTAAATTAAATATATTAGACCAAACAAACAAAAGCAACGTGTGCAGCTAGTAATATATGGAATTACTATGTGTAACGTCATGAAGCGCTTGGGAGAAGCTAGTTTGCTTATGTATCTGATCACCATCAGTAAGGAACCAAGGATGCTGTATATTGCAGTTGCAATGCTCCTGTGGTTTATGATCTGAAGAAGTGCATCTGATCTAAAAGCAAATGAAGCTCAGTAAAGAAGCAAGTTTGTTTCTGCATCTGATCATGTTCAATAAAGAATCAAGGATGCTGGATATTGCAGTTGCAATGCATCTGTGGATTCTGATCTGAGTTATGCATCTGATCTGGAAGCTAACGAGCGTCTCTGAAGAGTGAGCCCTCTAAAGAACTGTAGTGCTGAAGAATCTGATGACTTGAAGTTCTGAAGGCTGAAGGCTCTGAAGACCAAGTGCGTCAAGACTCTGAAGACATGTTCTGAAGGACAAAACTCTGAAGACTCTGAAGACATGTTCTGAAGGTCAAGACTCTGAAGACTCTGAAGACATGTTCTAAAGGTCAAGACTCTGAAGATATAATCATCTGAAGAAGTTTGTGCTGAAGACTCTGATGACTTGAAGTTCTGAAGGCTGAAGGCTCTGAAGACCAAGTGCAAAAGACTCTGAAGACCAGACTCTGAAGAAGAAAGATTATGAAGCTTCACCAGACAAGACGTGTTCAATCAGATGAGCTGTTGCTATCAACTCTGATGAACAAAGTGCTGAAGTTAGAATCTGATGTTTACTGCGCTATCAATACCAAAGTAGTTTCTGAACTACTCATCTATAACATCATCAGAAGAACCAAGCCAGAAGCAAATTTGTCCAAGCTGTTAAATGGAATATTATCGTTGCAAGAAAAGGACAAGAAAGTGATGTCATCCAACACGTGCTCATTCTATCCGTTGGAATATGACCGTTGGAAATAGAAAGGACTTTTCTATCCTCACAACGTCATTATTGGAAGCACTATAAAAGGAAAAATAATTTGTTTATTCAAATGTAGCTGAAGCATTGGGTTGGCTCTTGCGCTGTTGCGCTACTGCTACATCTGCAATGAAAAGAAAAGCTTTTAAGCAATATGGAAACTGTACTCAATAATCTCTTAGAGATTTATTATTAGATTAGTTTCTATATTAGAAAGCAAGGAGTTGTTGCTCAATACTTGCTAGGAACTTAATTAGGAGTAATCTGCTTATTTGAGAAGCACTTATGTAATCTCCGGCAACACAAATTCTTTTTAGAATTAAGTGGTTCCTCAAGTGATCTTGTTAAGATCAGTATACTTGAGATGACAAGTGACAGTAGTCATTTGTGGAAATCCTAATAGGAGATCTTTAGTGATCGGATTCTATTAAGGTGTCAATGAACGTTATATCCTTGGGGATCCCTGAACGTGTCATTGTCAAGTTGTTAGTCACTTGCAGTTAGCTTGTGCAACTGTAATCTGTTTGGTTATAGTGGATTAAGTCCTTGCAGTGAGTAAGACGAAATCACCTTGGAAGGGTGGACTGGATTAGCTTGAGAGTTGCTCAAGTGAACCAGGATATATCTTGTGTTCTTTAATTGTTTAGCTTATCATTTATGCTTCCGCATTGCTACATCTAGAAACAACACAGAAGAAGATGTCAAAAGTTTTAAGTAACCAAATACCCAATTCAAACCCCCCCTTTCTTGTGTATTTTTCACACCTTCAGGAATGTCATGCACCTTATCATTGTTACGTTGGACCTTCATCTAATCTTAATAAGGGATTGGATCCCAGATTAGCCCTTGGCCTGAGTATCTGAAACCGAAGTGACTACATCATTATTTGCGATGCTAACATCACTAGAGGCCTTCATCGGCTGGCGTAGGTCCTTACGTTGCTCACTTTGAAAAGTGCAAGAATTTTGGTTGCTTTGTTTGTTGATGTTCTTTGGCTAAGTGGATGTGTTATTTGCGGTAATAGATAAGTGATCCCATATTCAAACAGTAAATATTGAGTTGTTACACATCACCCAGTAAACTGGTTACAACCTAAGGGATTTCAAGCCACGAATTTGTATTTTACTCCGAGTTCCCTTATTGTGGTTATTCATTAGCTAACCGTGTTACGACTTTGAGGGCATACCTCATCGTTCTACCCTTTTAATTTGGTTCAAGAGTTTAAATCCATTTCAAGTTACGGAATATATTTTAGAATCTTAATTTGTGGATTCAGTATAAGCCAAGGTCATCCAAGAATTAAAAAGTATGATAAAATCAGTTTTTTATTACTTTAAGTTCATCCACATGGAACTCAACATTTATTATTACAACATTGGAAGCATGGGAGGAGGCTACTAAGAGGATTTATCCAGCCAATGATTTCTTCGCGTTTGTCTTCCACATGCCACTCTCAATCAACAATCTCGGTCGTGGTCTTCTCGGTAATACCGTCGCTTGTTGCTTGTTTGGAGTTACCATAACACTTTCAGCCTCTAAATCATGGCCGAGACCTGAAACAAATAAGATTGAAAGATCAGGTTAAGGTTACAAGAGCCTGAGATGTAAAGATAAGCCCTTTCTTCATTTGATAAGCCGCGTCCCAAAAACCCTGCAGAGTGTAACGCCGCGAGATGTGTTACTCCGCAGATGCTTTTTTTTCTTCTAGTAAGACAGAACCAGCCACCTGCATCAAGTGTAAACGAAATAAAAACCGACAAACAGCAGCCATTAGCGAGCATACGAAGTTCATAAATGCACAATCGCAACGCTTGAGACTACCTACAACGAGGTTACACAATGCATCATTACCCTGTGTTTCATTCCTGTACAAGATTAGAATTAAGTCACAACATGGCGTAACGAAGAAACTATGTGAAAGCATACAAGACGAAGTCATAAGAAGATAAAGTGCACTTTGTAACAGAATGAAAGAAAAGAGTTTGCTCGAATAAGCTGATGACATTGAAGCAGTTCAGAAAGCCCCATCCTCAATCCATATCAGAAATTTTGCACTTCATCTTCATCGCAGCGCCATCGTATTCCTTCCCAATTAACTCAACGACACCTTAATGAAAGTATCGTGCGGTTCCCATTTTAGCTTAGTTTATTGAATCCTTCCACGAAGCCTAGGGATAAGCCGGTTGGGAACAACGACCTACATTCAAGAAATCAAGAGATGAAATCGGTCAAAACCGCAGGTTTTTAAAGGAAGGGAGATCATACAACAATACTCGATGTTAAAGCCTACCGTCATTGGGCCTGTTCTGGGCGAGGTCGAAGATTAGCAAGAACCGTATCATCACATAGAATTGGAATAATCAGTGGTTTGAAATGTGATAACTCTATTGGAGGCATAGTTGAGAACAAGAGACTAACCGCACGATCATTCCACACATCAATCAGTCTTCCTTCTAGCATTGGTGAAGCAAGCAAAGCAACTGATGCAGCTTTACAGTCCAGAAATGCCACAAACAGGTTTTTACCAAGTAAGAATTCTGTTGGAAACTTAGTTGAGAATAACAGATTGGCTACATCGTCACTTCACGTGTCGGTCAATGTTCCATCTGGCACTGGTGTAACAAGTAAAACCACTACTACTGCATCAGTTAAATCCAGAAACGGAACGATAATTGTTGCAAAGAGTTTGAAGTCTATTAGAGCCTCAATGGAGAAAAGACTAGCTTCAAGGTCATTCCACATGTCTATCAATCTATCTTCTGGTGCTGGCGAGAAAACACAGACAACAACA